TGGGATATCACAGAGAATAAACACACACCTTTTTCCCTGTGACATCTTCCAATACTGGAAGACATGATAGCAGAAGACTGCTATCATGTCTTCCCTTAGTGTTCTATTCATTATGTAATCATACTTATCTACAACCTAACATCTCTACCTTTCTATGACCCCATTTGTAATCTGGTTTCTCAATCTCTACTCACCTAGTTTACTATAGGAAACATAATTGTAGCAGTCACTAACCACGCTTACATTTATACTTTTATCATCTTAAGGCAACATACCTGAAACAGCTGTCAGACATTGAATCTACAGATACATCACATTCATATCATAAATTCATACATTCAGTTATAAATAACCAAATATTCTGTATTAAGAATTATTTTGCATCTATTTGTGAAATCAATCCTGTTTGGGCCATGTTAAAATCATGGTTGCTATTTGTCCAGAAAACTTATTTCTACATTTAGTTAATTCAAATTTTAAAATTGCTTACTTGTTTAATTTGTTCACCTGCTAATTTAACTGCTTCTAATTTAACTAGTTATCAGTTACAGTTTGTCTCAACTGAGCAGCACTCAGAGCCTATTTTTAGCCTATAATTAATTAGAAAGTATGGGGCATAGGTGGTGACAAAATATTTGGTTTGCTGTTAATTGCCAAGGAGAAAATTTAAAAAAATAGGTCTTCAATTTAAACTTCAGACCCACCGATTTAAAATGCAACCATCAATGACAGTGCTTCAAAAGTTTAAGAATGTAGTGGTATTTTCATTAACAATGCATATGATAGAAAAATGCATTTTGTGGTTCATTTTAATTAACTAAAATAGATTTGTTCAATGTTTGTTTCATTTTTCATTTTACCTTTATTCAATTTAATTAACAACATGTCCATGTCTTTGCAGATGAATGATCAAATATGCATTGACTATGGACCTTTTAATGCAAACTGATCCACTGCCTCTAATTCAACTACCCACACAATAAAATAAAACTATCAAAATATATTTCCCATTCTAAACTGGAGAAGAAACAGTACAGCTTTGTGTATTCTATTTGGCCTAGCCTATATTAAGCCTGTTCACAAACAGGCTGCGAGACTGTCTTATTAGCTGCAAGCTACAGAAATGACCTTGAAGTAACTTTAATTGTTTATTTTCAATTCTCTGTGATTTAACTGCCCATCTACAAGACCTTTCATCCTCAAGGTAACACTTGTCTTTTTACCAGGCAAGCAAAAATGCTGAGTTTGATTAGATTATATAGTAAGCAGATGGATGAGGCAGACAATATTGGAAAACCAGAACATCCAAGGAGAATAGTGTTCAAGCTAGATAATGGAAACATAGCAGTGATATTAACTAGATAACCTTTCAAGAAATAGGTCAGCAGCTGATATGTAATTATGCTGTGGTCCTTTTCTTCAAACTAGAACATACAGTGCCACAATACTCGTTTCAGTGCTAGATTTCTGATCACATGAGTTTTTAGCTGATTTCCAGTAGAATAAATGTATCTTGGAACAGGACTGACTTTCTCATAATGTAAAATAAGATATTCCCTTAAGCCAGACTTTAAGGTATCTTCTCAACTAGCAGCTCGTAGTTATGTATTGAGAACAATTCTATAGCAGAATATAAAGAAACTTGAGAGTGATTAACCCAAAAACTGTTGTGGCTATCATCTTGGCTTTTTTAATCCTACCTCTCAGGCATTCGTGCTAACATCTTAACCACTATACTATAATGATCTGAATATTTATTGCAATGAATATGAGAAGACCACATCTTGTCAATATGGAATTTCTCTCATTCTACAAAAAATGAAGCATTCAATCCATATTAAAACTCACATTTCAAATAATTGTTTGTGGAGATTAAACTTTTAAAGGACATAGTCTACAATCTCAATTAGATAGATCATTTCAGAGTAGCAAAACAAAGCAAAGCAAAACCCTTCTAAAATGGCATCATAAATTAGCAGTGTGTCATTAATACCCAAAAGATTTAGTGATCAAATGTTTTCTCTTCTTTTTGTCCATTCTTTTTAAAAAATATATTAAGATCTTAATTTTTCCACAGAAGAAAGAGATATTGACTTTCCAAAGGACAAATATATAGCAAACAACAAAGGAGGTAAAGCATAATCAGGCTTGCAAGAATTTGTTGTTATAGCCAACCCCAATAAAGTATAGTTTTAGTCTTTCTGTGGAGTTGATATCCTGGCTTAGTCTACCTAGTTGAACTGATATCAATCCTTTGCAAAAGAATTCTACACATTAACAGTGGGTTTTTCTGTAAGTGGTCTGTGTGTTTGTGATTGCTGTACAATTTGTATAATGATCATTTTTATGCCAAATATACATTTGGTCATGTGGTAGGTGATTTGCATTATATTAAAATGGGGCCATAAAATGCATCTCCTAGACATATTCTAACTGCAGAATATCATATGTATTGATTAAAGCTTACTCCCTTTTATTGCACCTAGCCTTTAAGTTAGAAACTTTATAACTTACCCAATTTGTGAAATATGAGGGTATATTTTGGGTACAATACTAAATTAAATGGATTAAATGTTAATAAGGAGAAATAGATACTGCCAACAACTATCAAGATTGCTAAGAATGTCATGCCAACTCCTATGATACTGAGATATACATTTTTAATAATTTGTGTAGAAATAAGCAACAAGAAACGTATCATGTTATTATCAGCAATAAATGCAAAGTAAAAAGTTGAATGTCTATAAGATGCTAAGGTGCCATGATGAAGAAACACAGGCAAAGATCACTCCAAAAATGTTTGCTTGGGGGTAAAGGGGAGGCACAGTGAATGTCAGGGTTGGGCATGCATGCATTCTATGCTGAAATAAATTATATTGATTTAAAAGAAATAAGGTGACCTAGTAGTTTGTTCTTTACATAGCAAGCAAGCATTTATCAACTAAATTCCAATTTATGACAAGTTTTATCTCAAACAAAAATGTTGTATAAATATTTTATGTACAAATTAGGTAGAACAAAACACCATGGCAGCTGAATCATTTTAAAAGCCTAGTTACTTCTGAACAAATATTAATATACAGATAGATCTACAGTAGGAATACACTAGATGTCAGCGAGAGGATACAGACCACACTGAGATATAAAAGCTCTATGAAATCACATCCTCACCATAAAATTACACAATTATATCTTACTTAACCGGAAAGATGGTATTAAAATATAGTTCTGCTTGAAACCACCTCCTCTGAAATAAAAGAAAGATGAAGTCATTTTGCATGTTAAAGATGAAGTGGCATTTCTTGAAATGCTCATCTGCATATGTCTCACCATACACATGAATGCTATACCAAATAAGACAGCAAGCTTTGCTAAGAGACAAGGAAATACTGTACAACATTCTTGGGTAGTCAAAATAGATTCCATGTGCACTGTAAAATATGGCATGCACTCAATATACAATGTCTTTCCACATGCTATCCAGCTATATTTCAGCAGAACCAGAACTGAGGGAAAAGCTTCACTTTCCATTGCTGATAATGCTCATCTATGCACAGCATATGGATGCACTATTTCTTTATCCTCAGTATTAGTGCATTTAGCAATTATCAGATCAACTTGAATGTTCAGAACATTTGCCAATTCACTAAAACCAGTGGGAGCAATACTAAAAGATCCATACAACTTTTCCTGTTATTTGCTAGAAATAGTTAATTGCAGTACATTTGGGGAGCACAGCTTATATAAAAAATAAATTTATCATTTTTCATATTTATTTATTTAGGAAATGTATTTGCCACTCATCTCATATCTAATCTCCCCTCTTGAGAAATTTACCTTAAATCTTTTCAGCAAAGGGACAAACGTAATGGTATACCAAACCAACTCTTCAGTTCTCATTACTCAGCCCTATTGAATCATACTATATAGCATTCATTATACTTAACTAAGTAAATGGTTATTTTTAAAAACTCAGTATGGGCACTCTATATAATTTGATGCTTGTTTTTCTTGTTATTTTTTGTTTTTTGGCAAGCTTGTACTCATGACATACTGACAGTTGCTGAAGCTGATATACCAAATGACCTTTGATTCCTCCTTGGAATTTATGCCTGATCTAGTGTAAAATGTGCTTGACAAAGTCATTTGCCTTGATGTCTTGTTTAGCCTTTTCCAATCAGCTAAGATTAGTGATAGAGGTGTTAATATTTAGTCAGCTCCTTTCCCATCAAATATGTACTCATACTCATGGTAATTACTGACTAGAAATTGATAGTATCAACAACATTACTTCAGGTGCCATAAAGATCTAAATGTAATATTTGAGCATAGGAGTTCAAAGTAGCTAGACTTCAATTTCTGGTGAGACAAGAAGAGACAATTTTGATTTTTATTAATTGTTCATAAATGTTGAAAAGTTGGATAGAGAGAATTAGAATTTTTACTAAAGTATTATACTTAATTACAATTTATATATAGGAAAGTGTACTTCAATATTGTTATATTTGACAATAGTAAGTTTCAACAACAATTGTTAAGTCTGTAAATATATATTATATACCATTCTTGTCCATATTTTTTCATACCTACGGGTTACTTAAATGATTAAAATCAACCAATACGAAAATAGCAAGGCATACATTTTCTTGGCAATAATTTATATTTTCATAGAAAAATGCTATCCTTGCAAATAAAAATAAAATGCTAAGGAATTTGAATCATGCATGTTGTTTTGCATGAACTTTTTCTGAAAAAAGTAACTATAAACTGATGAAATATTAAAGGCATTCTAGAGAATAGATGAATTCACTACCTCACTGGTTATAATATAGTTTTACAACTTTGAACAATACAGCTTTCTATGGCACACATTTACAATTTGTATTTGCAAAAGATAGTTTGAGTGCAAGCAACACATTTTACCTGGTTATAATTCCAAACTACAGTTTTCTGACCCACATTTTCAATTGTTCTTATGAAAAAGTATGCCAATTACTTACCACTCTTGGCATGAGCAGTGGTGTTTCAGAGCAACTTATCCCTTCATCATTAAAATTTGATTCCATGTTGATTATATCATCAATAACTTCTTCCATCTAATATAACAAGAATTGCTAATGAGTGAAAATGAATAGTTAATAGAGAAATTTACAGTACAATCCTATATAAGTTCATGCTAAAAGAAGATCAATGATACATATACTGAGTGAAGTAGAGAACTGCAGTCGCAAAGAACAAAAGCAAATTAAAAATAAATAATATTTGGTAAACCTGTCTCCTCAGAATGGTCTGAAAGAGCACAATGTCATGATCCTTCTACAATTAAATGGAATGGTTCTTATACACTATGTGAGTTAAAGATCACCTGGAAACAACATGTAAGATTTTCTGAGTTCTTTGAAGAAAGAACAGAGAAAAAAAAATATCTACCACTTAACCAAATGGTTACTTGTTGATTTTGGGGAAAAAAATCAGAATACTCATTTGAGGAAACAGACAATGAAGTCTCTGAAATATGATTTGTCTTCAGCCAAACAAATTGATTTCATTTATTTACTGATTTTATCCTATTTCCTAATTATCTCTAATCTGCTAGAATCATCCACGTGACTAATCCAAAATGCATTTCCTTCTCTCTCAGTGGGATACACATCAAATAGCCAAAATTATATTGCTGTTTATGATCCTAACATCTTATTAACTATTTATTGACCTTTTATTAGCTAGAATCATTTATGTGACTAACTTACAGTGATAACAGAAATAGTAAATAAGAGTAGGTAGACCAGATGGCAGAAATAATGGTTCTGAACATTTTAAAAATAAGTGAATAAAATTAAAGCATTTAGGAACAATTTTCTATCCCTGGAATATCAATATTTTGGCCATGAAGCTAAGGCATGAGAATCTCAACAATTGAAATAGCTTCAATTTGGTCAAAAAAAATTATTCCTTAGTAAAAGGCATGGAGCTTGAAAATGAGGAAGGACACATATTATTGCTTTACTCTTAGGAGTAAAGGAACCTATTGCTTTATGAAACTATTTCCAAGAAGTGATTCATTTCCGTCTCTGTCCAAACCAACCTACTTCTTCAAAGATCTGGACAACCCTATGGTCTACATTTGCAGAATAGGAGCTGTTATATTATTAAATAATATGCTTATAAGTATGCAATGCAATAGTTCTACAACCCTTATTTGCTGAAACAAGAGATACTTATAGTATATTTACATGAAAGAAAGACTACTTTTTTATGAAATGCAAAGGAAGTCTCAAATGAAAATATGGGAAAACAGATCAAATAAGGGATGTTTCTCCCCACCACCACCTTACTTTTCAGAGCAAGCGGGGAGCACTGACTTAAATTGAAGACATCATTCTTTTAAATAAAAGTAAAAAAAAACCTCCAGTAACATACATGAACCCTAACATTTTTCCCTTGCACATATGTTGTTCAGTTATGGTTAGATTCCTTGAAAAGAGGAAAATCACTTCTTAGCATATCAGTTACAAACACATCATTAAGCAGTGATGATACGGTAATGAAAGGCTTGTTAATGATGATGCATTGCTTGTTGATGTCCAAATGAAGTTGGATACACAATGAAGTTATGATTTTTTAATGTGCAAGCTTTACGGTGCAATCAATAAAATTAATGTCTGAAATCATCCTTCCTTAATCCTATTTTATTTAAACAACAAAAGCAGAACAAACTGGAGCACTGTTCTTTTTGTCAACTCCATTTGGTATAATAGCCTGCTCTAAACTAATCTCACAACTTTAAATCATACCCCATTTTCATGTTCTCCTCCAAGAGTTAGTATCTTGGTTATTGGACTTTCAGGAATGCTGATATTACTAGTAGGTGGCATATGATCACTCTTTATTATAGGCGTAGATCCTGAAGAAGGTACAGATTGGGAATGAGGCAATAATAGAGATTGGCTAGATAGCTTGGTTTCACTTGTCAGGAGTGGTTTCACTTGATGCTGTGGAATTTGCTGAACGTGATACCTCACTGGATTTTCCAGGTGGGATTGAACCTGAAAAGAAGGGGAAACATTCCTGAAATGTTACTTTTTCTTTGTAAGCCTGATATATAAATTTCTGATATGGAAATTTGATAGCAGTTATATTTCCACTTGAAATCTATATCCTTTGAATGTCAGTACAAGTAGATCATCATTGCTATTGCTTGCATCAGAATTATCTATGCTACATTCACAAAACAATAAGAAAATGCTGGTATTTCAAACCATTTTTCCTTACTCTCTAAATTTTTAAATTTTCAGTCACTATTCATTCCACTGTTGGTGGAAATAAATATTTTGAAAAGACAATTAGGCATTATTTAATATATCATTACCATGCAACACAAAACCTTGTCTGAAATGAAACCTATCTACACAGTTATGTCCCAACAGAAAACATTCCCAAAATGGGCATTACATTAACAAAGTAACTAATTAATAAGCATCTTTTCTTAAATTAGCTCACCTGATAGCAAGAGCAATCTGTCAAATGAGGCATTTTCAAATTTACCACAGATTATCCAGGAAAGTATATTAGATGATGAAAGTCTGACTTGACCAATACAGTATTCTCAGTGCTTTGCTTTAGGACTGACAAAATTTTGTGCAACCAAAGAGGCGTTATAAAGTTAGTGGTCATGCCCTAAATGGCTAATTGTACAGTCCATCCTTTGATTGTGCAGATTGACAGCCACAACTTCAAATAATACTCATTTCAGAGCCTCTCCACATTCCTACTATTTATCTACTTCAAGGATATAGGCTATACAAATATGTACTGTTACATTCAGCCTCTGGCTTTCTTGAAATATTCTAGTGAGACTAATGAGAAATTTCTTCTAATTTTCTTCCAATGTTTCTTAAGATTTAATAATACTGAAGCTTTTGTGTATTATATTTTAATTTACTTCTAAATTAAATGACTAATGAGAAATTTTTTCTAATTTTCTTCCAATGTTTCTTAAGATTTAAATAATACTGAAGCTTTTGTGTATTATATTTTAATTTACTTCTAATATTAAATGCAGTACGCAGTTCTAATCCTAGTTTTAGTTAATGTAATGTAATGTAATGTAATGATTTTTCAAGCAAGTTTAAGTAAACTCACATTCTTATACTAATTTTTCAGATACCCATTGCTTCCTCAGCTATGGTTATTTTATCTTGCTTTTACTTTTTTTTAAGTTCTATCCCTTTACAGGTAATTATGACAAAATTTTAAATGAATAAAATTGCAAAAAAAATAACTCAGAAGCGTTAAAAGTGAAGTTTAAAGATATTCATCTCATTTTCAATCATCTACAAATAAAATTGCATTTACAAAATAGAAAGTAACTATGCATAGGTCAGAAAATTCTTTTAGTGGTGTTTCAGCACTTCAATTTGACTGGATCATGCTGCCAGTGAAGCTGTAACTGATTCACAATTACAGTTGAAATGTTCATTGTATAGTTTATGTAGCCAAATAAACAAACCATGGCTGTTTTAAACTATTATAATATGTGCATTCACTCTTTGATTTAAAGATATTTCACATGAGAAAACATGTAATATTAAGCATTTGAAATCAGACATTATTTTTTTTATTATTCAGTCTGGTCTGAATATATCTGGATTATATCTAGATGTTAGAAATTATATGCACGTTTACTCAGAAATAGATCTATCCATCTGCATTATTATTATTATTCGTTAATATAACTGTAACCTATTTGTATTATGAAATACAATCCTGATTAAATATTAAAAAGAATGTTTGCAACATCCTTTATTTTCAATTTAACATTTGCTCACCATCATATTTCAAGAGTATCCTGCTATACCATTCTATTCAGCCTTCCTAAATTCATTTTTATCTCTGCACAGCATTTCATTTACATCAAAGAAATTTAAGTGATCTATCTGAAGGACAACTGACTCCTCAGAACTAATAGTAATTAATAAGCATAGGGTACCTAATCATATAGAATGGTACATTAATGAAATGACCACCTTAAACCACATTTGATTTCTCCAATATTTATTCTTAAAAATATAACCTTCAGAGAGCATCATATATAAGTTTAACTTGAAAACTAAAAGCATCTGCATCACGAGTTTCACCCTTTTATGGAGGCACAACCAAAGCATTTAATTTCTTTTTTCATCTTGGGATTTGAACATATATTGTTAGAAAGGTCCAGTCCCTTGATTATTAATAATAAAGCAGACCTTCTTTCATTTCATCAAGATGCAAGAGCTGCTCTGATGCTTTTGGCATTGTGAAAGTAGAGGGTAAGGCACTGAGGGCTTTTGCTTCTTTGTTTCTGATTTTCAAAGGAAAGAAAAAGGATTGTCCACTTTTAGGAGACATGCAGCAAATGCTAGGATCTTCTGTCTGCTGATATCTGCTGCTCTACATGGTAAAGTTAAAAGTTCCCTTGAGTTTTCAAACTTTCAACATGGAAGTATTTATTTATTTATTTATTTATTTATTTATTTATTTATTTATGAGACTTATATACCGCTTTAAGTGCAAGCGGTGTACACCAGTAAGCAATGTATATATATATATATATTTACATTGCCCCCAACCATCTGGGTCCTCATTTTACCTACCTCGGAAGGATGGAAGGCTGAGTCAACCTTGAGCCGGTGAGATTTAAACCGCTGACCTGCTGAACACAGTCAGCTAAAGTGGCCTGCAGTACTGCACTCTAACTGCTGCGCCAATAGTAGTTTGCTATTGCCTTCACAGCAGCTGGCAAAATCTCCACTGATTAAGAAAAAGGCTAAGCAGGGCAATTACAGTTAATTCTTGAATTAGACAGTATCAGAAAAGGCCGGGGCTGGAAGCAACACTGGAAAATAAAATAAAAAAATAAAATTCCAGCAGGATGATTACTTCTACTTTGATATAAAGAAAACTATATGATCATGTTCATGTGGTTCTCCAGAGGTTAGTTTATATGGTCAGATTGCAAATATTATTGCTGAGGGTTTTTTTTCTCTCTTAACCCTGAAAATAGAATCTTCTTTATATTCATCTTCATCAATAGCTACATTTGGATTCTGTCCTGTTCGGAATAAAGGTTATTGTGTGTAAAAGCTTTGAAGTTTAAACAAAACATTCATGTGACATTAAATATAGTTATTTATATTAACCTTTTGACATCATAATCTTCAACAAACTTTGAGGGAAATGAAAGTAACTGAAGAAACAACTATTTTCATGGTTCTCACTACAGCACAGGCTGCTCAAACTGCATTATTGAGCTGTCTATTTTAGTGTCAAAATCTAAAAATAGTTCTGGCATCTCTCTTTCTCTCTTTCTTTATCATAGCTGTTAGGCATTATTAAATCTTCTTGTATTATAGTTCAAGAGGAACTATCTTTAGACCCTGAATTCCTTGCAATGTTTTAGCACTAAGACTGACAGCTAGTAAGTCAGTTTAAAGCCAGAATAGTTAAATAATGCAATGTTCAACTTAGTTGGAGAGAATTTGTGTTCAAAGTCCTGAGCTGAATAGATATTGATGGACCAGATCTACAGTACTTTCTAGACACCACATGGATTTACTTATGCCTTCCATCATATATCCCAGAGTGATTTATAAGAAAAATAATTAAAATTACAAAATAAAAGTACAGACCAAACCTAAGATTTTAAAAAAATCAGAAAAGCAATATGAACTAATAGGAAAGAAGGAGGAAAGGCACCCTGTGGATTTTACTCTGCTATGTTGCCAACTATAGGGGCTGGCACTCATCTCCATTTCAATATGAACTAATAATCAGTATTAAACTTGTGCTTGATTAATGCAGTAAAGCAAATAACCTGATTAACATACACATCCAACAATATTTCATTCACATACCCTTCTTTCCTTGTACATAGCTCTAACTAAAATCTTAGCCTTGTGCTGTAATTCATGCTAGCAACAGCTACTATTTGGAGTTTACATATAGCAGGAATTAGAAACCAAAGTCTAATTTCCATAATTTCAGTTTTCACCATCCCAAAATAGAGACCACTTTAAGGTAAGACATCTTTAAAAGTCTATGCAGGGGAAATATTTTTTTCAATCTACTGTTTATATGTATGATGTCTACCATAAGGGATGAATGATTAACTTTTTTAAAGAAATCATATTTATTTGTATTTTTGTACATACTTTTAATAATGTACTATAGTACTATATATAAAAATCAGTTTTACAAGTGTATTCAGTTGCTGTGCTTACTTGTTCAAGAAGAAACTCTAGTACACTAACTACTTGCTTCAAAAGGCAGAGGGAATTTACCCCTTGTTTTTCTCTAAATTTTTCCCAGGAGATAAGAAAAAAGAGAATTAGTCCTGCGGATAGATCTAATAGCAGCTCTGAGGGGTCCTTGGTGATCCCTGAGCTTGATTGTTTTCTTACAGACATTTCATTACTCAAACTAAACATTATCATCAGCATCATCAGCAGAAGTAGAAAAGGGAACTAGGGGATCAGCCATATTGGATGTAATTCTCACTAACAGAGATGAAATGATAGAAGACATTGAATCTGCAGGAACCTTAGGGGGGAGTGATCATGCGATATTGGAATTCAACATTATGCAAGCATGCAACAGAACATAGTCAAACTAGAGTCTTGGACTTTAACAGAACTAATTTCAATAAACTTAGAGAGTGCTTGGGAAGGATTCCATGGATGAGAATCTCCAAGGAGAAACAACTGAAGAAGCTTGGGAAATTTTGAAAACTGAGATCATAAAAGCCCAGTCTAGCACAATACCAACGAAGAAGAAAAATAATAGCTCTCAAAAGAAACCAGCATGGCTGCATAAAGAACTCTCTGATAAATTGAAAGATAAAAAGGACAAGTATAAAAAGGGCACATAACGAAAGCAGAATATCAGCAAATAGTCTGAGCCTGCAAAGATGAAGTGAGGAAAGCTAAAGCTCAAAATAAACTAAGGCTTGCGACAAAAATCAAAAATAACAAAAAAGGAAAGCTTTTTTCAACATGTAAAACACAAGAAAAAAGTCAAGAAAATGATTGGTCCATTAGTGGGAAAAAGTGGAAAGAAGATGACAAGCAATAGGGACAAAGCAGAATTACTTAACTTGTTTTTTGCAATCATCTTTACACAAAAGGAAAAAACAGTCCAACCTATCAAAAACAGTACCATAAAAAACAGATTAGAAACACAAGTTAAAATAGGCAAGAAAATGGTAAGTGAGCACCTAGATGAGTACAAATCACCAGGACCAGATGGATTACATCCCAAGGTTCTGAAGGAACTGGCAGACATGAACTCAGAACCACTGAACTATATCTTTCAAAGAGCCTGGAACACTGGGGAACTACTGGGAAATGGTATAGGGTTTTCTTCCTGAGCAGGGGGTTGGAGTAGATGAATTCTAAGGTCCCTTCCAACTATTATTATTATTATTATTATTATTATTATTATTATTATTGTTGTTGTTGTTGTTGTTGTTGTTGTTGTTATTATTATTATTATTATTATTATTATTATTATTATTATGGATCATCGCACAGTCAGACAGATGTTATCTTCTCCAGTTCTTTCTCGTGTATTCTGCTGTCTCCAGGCACTGCCACGTCCACTATCCAGACTTTTTTGTCTTTCTTATCAACAATTGTTAATTCTGGGGTGTTATGTTGTAGGTGCTTGTCTGTTTGAATTCTGAAGTCCCAGAGCAATTTAATTTTATCATTTTCTATGACTTTCTCTATTTTATGATCCCACCAGTTTTTGCTTACAGGCAAATGATATTTTTTGTAGATCTTCCAATGTGTCATTTTTGCTACTTTGTCATGCCGCTGCTTGTAATCAGTCTGTGCAATCTTCTTGCAACAGCTTACCAAGTGGTCCACTGTTTCTTCAGCTTCTTTGCATAGGCAGCACTTACTGTCTGTTGCTGTCTTCTCAATTTTGACTTTATATGCATTTGTCCTTAAGGCTTGGTCTTGTGCAGCCAGAATTAGTCCCTCGGTCTCTTTCTTCAATTTTCCTGCTCTTAGCCATTGCCAGGTTTTATTATTATCTGCTTTCCCAGCTATTTTTTTAATGTATTGGCCATGTAGTGCTTTGTCTTCCCATGCTTCTATTCTGTTCTTCATTTGGTCTTTCTTGTAGGCCAGTTTGGTCTCTCCAGTAGTCAGTAAGCCTTCCTGATATACTAATTTCAGTGCATCTTCATCATTGTTCTTCAGATATTCTTCCAAAGCCATTTTTTCTTCTTCAACCATCTGATGTACTTGTAGCATTCCACACCCACCTATTTGCCTTGGTAGATAAAGTCTGTGTAAGGACCCACCCCACTTTGCATCTTAAGAAGACAGAACTCTTGGAATAATTCTTCCAACAGGGATCCTTTATTAAGAGAAAATGGTTGCAGGCATTCTAGACAGGACTTGGGGTTCAAGCTCTCCCATTCGAGGTTTTAAGGGGTTCCCCAGTAGTCCCACCCAATCACCCCCCTCTTCCAGTGACAGTTTCAGGCATCACAATCCCACCCCTTTTTTCCTTTCTTCCGTCTGGATGGAGACTTCAGATAAACTACATGAAAGGTAAATAGCCTCCTTTGTTATGATAAGGCCTTTTGGTGCTAACCACATTCAAACCCTTTGAAGTTGTACCAAAGGAAGTGAGGGCCATAAAGCCCCTTTGTTCACCCCCCTCTCTTTCTTTATGGCAGAATCCAGAGAGGGCAGAAATGGGGTTTTCTATAATTGATAACTGGAGATGAAGTATAATTGGATTCTGACATCCGGCCCCCCTTAAAAATAAGAGAGATCCACCTGAAAGAAAACAAAACAGGTATAAAAATTAGTCAGGCTTGTTAGGATACTCTGTGTGAAACTTCTTCAATAGCTTCGGGGCTCTGACATGACGTTTATGGACCCACTCGTTTTGTGAGGGAGAGAGGTGTTTCCAGGCAACTAGGTACTGAGTTGCTCCATGATATCTCCTAGAGTCAAGGATTTCCTTTATTTTGAAGTGTTGTTCGCCCTCCACCATGATTGGAGGTGGTGTGGGGGGGGGGATTTTTGGCCGTAGAGGTGACTGATGCTCTCTTTTCAGCAAGCTACAATGAAAAATTGGGTGTATTTGCCTGAGGTTTTTGGGTAATTCTAATTCTACTGTTACTGGATTTATGATTCTTTTAATTGGAAAAGGTCCTATATATTTTGGTCCAAGTTTTTTACAGGGCTGTAGGTACTTTAGGTATTTTGTAGATAAGTACACCATTTCTCCTATAATGAATGGTGTAGGCTCCACCCTTTTTTATCGGCTTGTGCTTTGTATGCCTGCCTAGCTTCATCTAGTGCTTTTCTAACGATTGGCCAGGTGTTTTGTAGTTTTTCCATCCATTCTTTCAGTGAAGGGATCATTGGTTCGTTTGGGGTTAACTCTGGCATGGGGTTGAAACTTTGACCGGTGGCTATTTGAAAAGGAGTGTAACATGTGCTGGAGTGGACTGCATTATTGTAGGCAACCTCTGCAAAAAGGAGTAAGTCTGCCCACTCGGTCTGCTGGAAACTAAGAAAACATCTTAAATATTGCTTAAGTGTGGAGTTCATTTTTTCAGCCCCCCCCATTTCCTTGTGGGTGGTGGCTAGATGTCAGTCCCTGAGTGGTTCCTAAGAGGGATAAAAATTCCTTCCAAAATGCAGACATAAATTGCACCCCCCTGTCAGAGATGATGCGTTGGGGTGCCCCCATGCAATCTGTAAATGTGCTGGATGAAAAGTTTTGCTAAGGCTTTTGCAGTGGGAATCTTTTGGCAAGGGATAAAGTGCACCTGTTTGGAAAACAAGTCCGTGACTGTCCAGACCACAGTATTCCCATTCCTTTCTGGCAATTCCACTATAAAATCCATGGCTATTACTCTCCAGGGGGCTGAGGGACTTGCCACTGTTTGCAATAGTCCTGGCAATTTCCCTTGCAACCTCTTTGCCGTGGCACATTTTGGACAACTGGCTATATAACTTTCGATGTCCTTTTTCATGGATGGCCACCAAAATTGCCATTTAATTAAATGTAAAGTTTTTACAA